TATAAAATTAGAACAAATGAAACTTTACGCCGTTACCAATTTTATTATTAATTTTTTATTACTCATTGTTTTTTTTTGTTTAGTATTTATTTATTTTTATTTTTTATTCAAAACTATTTTTTCTAAAATAAATAAACGTCAAATTTTTAATAAATTATCATTTGTAAAAAAAAAAAAAAAAAAATTTATTTATTTATTTTGTTGTGTCAATTTATTGCGTTGTAATGTGATTGACTATCAGTAAGAAAAATAATAATAATAATAATTTTTTTTTTTTTAAAATGTTTTTGTTGACTGAATGAATCAGGTATGTGGGCGACCTTAAATGAAGGTTCATCATCATTACCTTATTTAAAAACTAAAATTATTTGTGAGTTAACCAAATTGCAATAAATTTAAATAGATAGAATGATTGGCATATTTATTTAATAGAAATTAATTATTGAGTTGATATTGAAAAAAAAAAAAATAAAAATAAAAAACTTCCATATTTAACTATCTACGACACCCTGTCAGAAACTTTTTAAATTTTTTAAAGAGTATTAATTAATTAATTTAATAATAATAATAATAATACTTTATTAAGTATTCTTTTATGTTAAAAAAAAAAAAGGATTTAAGTTTTTCTTAACATCTTAATTATGTTTGAGTGTATTCATCAACATCAATAAAAAATTATTAAATTATTTTAAATATATACATCAAAGTTAAAATTAATAAAAGTAATTAAATTTATAAAAAATTAATTATTATTATTATTATTATTATTATTTAAATAGTTGTTGACCCTGTTATACATTTAAGTGCAAGGTAATAAGTTAAAATAATCGCCTCAATTTTTAAAATGATGATTTATAAAAAAAATTTAACACTTGTAATAATTTTTTCATTTATTAATTTTTAACACAATTAAGTTTAAAGTTTTTTGCTGTAAGATTTCAAATTGTAAAAAAAAAAAAAAAAAAAAAAAAAAACATTAAAAATTCTTATTCGTTAAAATGCTTTTAATAACCACACCTGCAGCTCAATATCAGCCAAGGCCCATTTTTTTTTTTTTTTTTTTTTTTTTATAAAATGATGAGTAAAATTATTATTAATTATTATTTAAACGAGATGTTTTTTAACATGTAAAATATTGTTAATAAAATCCGATAAATATTAATTTAAAATTATAAATAAAATTTTTTTTTGTTAATTTAAAAGTTGTTGTTAGGTTGTTAGATTTTTTATTGAGTATCACCCACAATATTTTTTTTTTTTAAATAAATAAAATTATTAAAATTAACCCACGTTTTTGTATAATTTTTTTTTTTTTAATATATACTCTTAAAGGTTAAATGTAAAAAAATTATTTATTTTGCGTAATTACATAATGAAAAAATTAAAAAAAATTTTTTGTTAATCGCACTTAATATTTATTTAATTAAATTTTACTGGCTTAATTATTAATCATTATCTTGATTACGTTATTTAAAAAAAAATGAAAACAAACAACAACAACAACAACAATTAGATTTCAGTTTGTTTGTTTGTTTTTTGTTGAATAAATAAAACAATCAAATAATGATTAAAAAAAAAAAAAATTAATAATTTACTATTAGTTAACTTGCAAAGTAAATAAATAAAGTTTTGTTGTTTAAAATTATTAGGAAAAATTATTGTTAAAATATTATAATATTTAAATATTAATTTATAGATATCAAAAATATTTTTTTGTAAATGATAATTTAACAATATCGAATTCGTGAACTACAAAAAAAAAAAAAAAAAAATTTAACAAAAAAAAAAAAAAAAAACCTGAACTAAATAATATGCCAAGGTTTATTTCTTAGTTTTTGTCTCCCATACCTAAATGTTTATATTTCTCTCATAACCGTGTGAAATATAACTTTTATAAATTTATTTTTTTTATATTATTATTATTATTATTATTATTATTATTATTCTGCCAAAACTTTTCAGTTAAATAATAATAATAATAAATTAATTCACGATTTATTTCGATATTGTTAAATAAATTATTAATAATCATTAGTAGAAAATTACAAAAAAAAAAAAAAAAATTACAAACAGTTAAAATAATGCCCCCTTTTTTTTTTTTATAAACAAATCACTAAAAACAACAATTTCTTTTTGTTAAACGTATAAAAAAAATATAAAAACAAAAAAAATTTCACTAACTTTTCGTAAAAAAATAAGAAAATTTAGAATCGATGTAAAAAATTCCGAATTAATTTTTTTTTTTATATATAGATTTAAACTCGTTGGTTGTATTGCACAGACTAAAAATGTTTTGTAATCATTTGGGTTCCATTCTAAAATCAAGAACTTAACAACTAGTTCACCTTCCTGCCCAAAGTTAATAATGTTCGACACCAAAATATTCCTCTTGTTTCCTTTTTAAACGACAAGTAAGTAGGTTCCTTGTGATTTTGCATCATTACATAATCATCTTAACATTTTTTCACATATTTAACTGCTCCTCTGTTGAAAGCGTTCATTTACGTATATTTCACATAAAAAAAAAAAAAAATTTAATAATTAACGCGTTGATAATTAACAATGAGAAGATGTTAATTAAACTTTTCACGAATTTAGTAATTTTTTTTTTTTTTCAACGGATTTTTAACGAATTTATAATATAAACCTTTTGTTATTTAAATATCAATTAAGGTACGTCAATAAA